CATCATGTATATGGGGTAGAACTTTGTAGTCTCGGTCTCCAACTCCAGCCTGAATAGAAGGCCAGTCCACTTGTGCATGGACATATGCAGCAGGAATTCCAACAGGCAGGACCAATATCTAAAGAAAGTATTGGTCCTGTCTGTTGGTATTCCTGCTGCATGAGTGGACTGGCCTGTTCAGGCTAGAATACAAGTTTGGCACTTAAACTGTCATAATAGAAAGCCGACACAGACATCTTCACATCTAGTCACTATTAACTAACGGCTCACTCTTAAATTCTCAAAAGCAAGTTACTGCTTTATATACACTTGCTAGAGAACTTGATAATGAGCTGATTATGATTCAGGCAGTATCTAAATCTCAGCAAGTCTTTTGTGTATGAGAAAGCTTTTTGGACTTGATGTTAAGGAGGGGCTGGGCAATATCTGGTTTTCAGCATCACAATATATCACCAGTTAAACATCGCAATATAACAATATATCACAGTGTCTGAAAAAAGGATGGAGCTGTGCAGAGGTATTGGCTGGCTTCATGATTTTCCCCACGTAATTTTTGCATAGCACACACATATACATCATGATTCACAATATATTGCCAGGTCAAAAACTATGAAACAGATATCATGATATGGACTTCCAGCTGGTTTTGGATGATATATCAATATATCGCCGAGCCCTAATGTTAACTATTCATTCCTTTAGATTTTCTAGGGTGTATCCATATATTAAGACAGACCATAAGAAAACTATTTGGAGTTAATTATGTTGGCTTCATGTATTATTGCTTTCATAGAATTAAGTTTTAGTGCTGTGCCCTTGGCTTTTCTGGATGGCCACTCTAAGATATAATCCTTGGAACAGTGTTTCTGTGTGTCTTGGAAACTGGTAGTGAACAGTGTCCTCTTAACATTACCCATGGTCCTATATATAAAGATCCTTCTGAAAAAATACCTGTCTTGAGTTTAGCTGCAGGGAAATGTTTGTTGCATCAAGTGAGTTTGTGTGCTTTTTGATGTTGGACAAGGAAAATTTTATGTTGGCTGCAGGGAACTTAAGAGCCAAATCTGTGGTTGAACTCTGAATGTCTTTTTTTTCTTTGTTATGGTTTATAGCCGAACAAGTAAAGGTGTTGCTTGACAATATATAGTTGTAGTAAAATATTCACATGTGTGAAATGATGGCAGCAGAAATCTTTATTATATAGACTCTTTATTTTTCAATAAAAGCCACAGAAGCAAGCTATTTACAACTTATTTTTAAAGTTTGGTTGTAATGTGGTAAATAGCCCTTATTTTTAAAACTGTGCTATGGAGCTCCCAAAACAGAGTATGTTATTTGTAGGGAAGATACAAGGTTTAAAATTTGAACAAAATCTCTGAGGCATAGGCACGTTCATCAGTTGCAGGAAAAACATCACTGGCCCAGCTCACATGCCATGCTAAAACATTCTCTTAGTGTTATGCTCAAGTGGGGATCATAGTTTGTTTCACACCAAACAAACCACAATGGGTAAGCCAAGAACAAATTGTAGTTTGTCTGAAGTGAAACCAACCACTATCCTTGCTTTGGATGTAAGGCCAAGGATCAGAGTTTGTTTTTTGGAGCAGGCAAGATTGGTGTGTTCACAGTCAACCATTAATTGTGGATTGCGATGATGTGTGAATGATTCCAAAGTCCTATGGGATTCTAAATGCTTAAAAATTTATTATAGCGGAAGCTTTTGTGGACCACACAGTTAATGCTATCAGATTCATGAAGCATTATTCTGAATTACTAGTATTCATCCCTGGATGTGGTTGCTCTGTTTTATTGTGACTCGCTTATGGAACAACACCAATGCAGTTGCTTTCTGCATGTGTTATTCTTCTTTTTCTTTTAATGAATTTATAAGAGCAGGGGTGCTTAGCCATCTGGTTTTGTGTTTTAAAGCTCCCTTACCATCCTTAATCATGCGTGAAAATATCTGAGATGTACTTCATGAAATTCCTCAGTTCCCCATGGGAAAGCTGTGAATTTCATTGTCTTTAAAAGAAATGGAGAAAAAAGTATCACTATCACTATGCAGCCCAGCACTGTATATTACCCCTTGGATGTGTGGCTGGGTTTGGACTGCTTTGATGTGGTGTTGCGTGTAGCATCTCTTGAGCTTATCATCCTCCTGGATTAGAATGGGGAAACAATGGAATGTTGCTTTCAATAGGGTATTTATTAGAATAGGGTCATCCCCATTCATATTCTGCTGCAAGTAGTCACACAAATACCATTTTTTCTATATGACTATGGCTGGATCACAATTGATGTGGGCAGCAAAAAGAGACAAGAGCAGTATAGCAGGATCCATACAGCTGGATAGACTGCTTCACCTAGCGAAGAACTACCGTATATCTTAGGTGACCTAGGCCTGTTGTACAGGCCTTTAAAAAAAGACACTCTAAGCCACTAGCTCAACTTTTTCTGATCCAGGATCCACCTTTAACCCAAGCAGAAATTTAGGGGCTAATTAATTTTTTTTAAAAAAACACACCATATATTTGTATGGTGGTGGTAGTGGTACTCTTGCAACCCATCTTAGATCAGGCTGTAACCTATAGCGGTTCCTGACCTACCCACTGAAGATCAGTGCTCTAAGCAATCAGTTTCGCATGTGAATCCAAATGAAATGACCTGAGGGAATGGAAAACTGCAGGAAAAGAAAGTTGCAGATGTGCCACTTCTGATTTTTTTTTGGGGGGTGGGATGGGGGTAAAGTGTTGGGTAAAGTGGAATACCAAACAAAGCCAAGTGTAGAAGAGTTCTAAACATAAAAGGGGAATTTATAGACCTAACTAGATAGATTTATTAAAATTCTCTGTCACTTTTTAGATAAAACTTGCAAGGCAGCATGCAGTAAAATTTCTAAACTGTCTACACATCACAAAGACTGGTTGGTGTACCACAGCTAAATCATTTTTGTGGTGATAATTTGAACTGAGGCATCTGAAAAATTATTGTCAAATAGTGAAAATAATAATCAGCATAGTATTATGTACCAAAAATACTACCTTGGACTTTGCTATAGCTCAAGGATCTGTGCCTTATTTCTGCAATTTAACTATGCTAAACCTGTTTCTTTTGTGAAAAAGTGAATAGTGCAGTCATGAAATCGAAGGTCTGTTGAAATATCACAATGAAGACCTGCTTGTTTTATTAAAAACACTGATTTATTTTCTGTGTATGGGACTTGCAGTAGCTTTAAGGAAAAAAGTATGTTAAAGCACTTCATATGTGCTGTTGGTGTATGTATTTCTCTTTTCAAAAACAATGTGGCAGAAATGAGTACTTTGTAATCATGTGTGGTGAATCTATGGTTTGGCAAGGATAGAAAAAGATAATCTAATGTTCCAGAAAATGGATTATTGGATTATTATTATTATTTTGCTGTGCATTCTAGTGGTTCCTATTGACAAATCTAGCTCAATACTAAAGTTGTCCAAGCCTCCTTTATTTCAGGGGGAACTTCTGCCTACACACTTAGGGTTACAGTAGTAAATTTTAAGAATTCTACAAAAAAAAAAAAAATATTTAGAATATGGTCACCAGATTTCTAAATACAATCCATGGTTGAACAGGGAAATTGGCTCTTAATCTGTGTATTGTACTATGAAACCACGTGAAATGTTTTTACCCCTGGATTGGTTATTCAAAGGAACACTGCCACAAATGTTCTTTACATAATTAAGCCGTTTATAAAAGTTTTGGAATTTATAAGATCCTTATGGCAAGAATATATTTTCTTTTTGAATTCTTAATTCCAGAAAAATAAAAATAAAGAAATATATTTTTAATCCTGTTTAGTGATCAATTGATGTACCCTATGGATATTCCACACTAATCCAAAAAGCTGCTTTAGCTACAGCAAAGGATTTTGGCATGCCCATTTCTATGTTCTACTGTGAAAAGCAGACTCCAACACATCAGAGGTGTCAAGAGGGGATTCTTCTGCAACAAGTTTCTTGTGTAGCAGATCTCCTAGTCCAAATTTTATTTCATTATTGATTTAAGGTGTTTATATATACAGTACTGCTTTTCAGGCACACCCAATCAAACAGTTTACATAAGATCACAACACTAAGCATTGATTTTTTTTTAAAAAAAAGCTACAATGGAAAAGACAACAACAACAACAACAACAACAACAACAACAACAACAACAACAACAACAACAACTGTGTTTTGGAGAAGTCCCTGGGGTGACATTTGGAAAAGGGAGGGGCCACTACTGGAAACTGGATGTTAGGATATATGAAATTAATTGTGCTTCTTAAAAAAAAAAACCTTTTAAGCAGGACTATACGAAGTACTAGGGACGCGGGTGGCGCTGTGGGTAAAACCTCAGCGCCTAGGACTTGCTGATCGCATGGTCAGCGGTTCAAATCCCCGCGGCGGGGTGCGCTCCTGTCGTTCTGTCCCAGCGCCTGCCAACCTAGCAGTTCGAAAGCACCCCCGGGTGCAAGTAGATAAATAGGGACCGCTTACCAGCGGAAAGGTAAACGGCGTTCCGTGTGCTGCGCTGGCTCGCCAGATGCAGCTTTGTCACGCTGGCCACGTGACCCGGAAGTGTCTCCGGACAGCGCTGGCCCCCGGCCTCTTGAGTGAGATGGGCGCACAACCCTAGAGTCTGTCAAGACTGGCCCGTATGGGCAGGGGTACCTTTACCTTTACCTTATACGAAGTACTATTACTATTATTTTATTTACTACCATAATGTTTCTTGGAAGCACTGCAAGACTGTCATTGTTGGTGAAATTTTATCAGACAGCAATAAATCAGTTCTAGCCATTTGAGTTTTGGTTGTCCTGTAACTGAACTGGAAGTTCAGTAAGCATTTTTATATTATTATTCAGCTGGCCTTACCAAGTACTGTTTATCCAAAGCTCTTGTGATGATGCAAGGGGGCAACCCTTTATTAGAAAGCAAGCTAACCTGCAACTGTATTTTATCACACACTACTACACCAGATCCTGTTTTCAGTAAACAGTTTTTATTATTTAAAGGCTAGATTTTTACACTTCAGTGCACACGTTTCTCTTCCTTCCCCACAACATAGTTTCATAAGCAATGCAGAGTGATATGGTACTCTGCACAGGCTAGCTCAGTGTTATGTTGTCAGGCACATAACATTTCTGCAAATTAGTTCAGGATAACAAAGCATGGTCTATATAGGACACATCTGAGTGCTTTAGCATGCCGCCAACACAATCTACCATTCCATCAATTGGAAGGGAATATACAGCCTGCTTCGAATATTGAGTCAACATACTCCCATATTGAGTTAATCATCTTTGTTAATCCTCTGAAATTACATTATTTCATAACTAGAGGTAACTCAAGTGCGTGTTCAGACTTTCCAGCTGTATTTCCCAGCTACTCAAAACAATTTCAGTAAGTTGCTTCATCCATGTCATCATCACTGCCTGCTCCATAGTCATCTCCATCTTCAAAATAGGAAGCAATATAGTCGTTCTCCTAAAGGAAATCATATTAGATACTGTAAATTGCTACGTGCAAGAAGTACAGTCGCAGAGACTTCCTTGTGTTTATATCAAACCTTATGTAACTGGCAGAAATCAATGTTACACATGCAGCAAATAAATATAGATCCCAGTGAAACGTGCTGGTAGTTGAAGGCAAGGTAATTATAAATATAAATGCTTGTGTTAACAACATACCTAATTTAAATGTTTTTCAGTCACTTTTGACACCCATGCCCTCCATTCCTAAATGAATTTTCCTTGGTAGCCAATTGATTTCAATGTAATGTACTTTCAATTAAGTGTGGTTAAGACTATGGCCATAAAGCATTTTCAGAAGTGACACAAAAAGCAAATACCCCCCCCCAATCCTTCTGTTGACAATACAATATACAGTAGAAAGTGGAAGAAAGCTGCTTTAAAAAGTAAACAAGATACAGATTGATATGGTTCTTTCATTTGGTTCTGCAATGAAAATACATATTGTTGTTAACTGCAAGGAATGGAAGCACCATACTACTTACGATGGGGAATCTGCAGCCCTTCAGATGTTACTGTACTCCAATACCCATCAGCCCCAAGCAGTATGGACAACGGCCAAGAAATGATGGGAGCTGTGGTTCAGCAGCATTCAAAGAGCCACAGGTACACCAAGTTTATTGTACCTGCCCCAATCATGTATAATGTCAAGAAAATAATTATTGCCACCATCTTGGTCTCTACCTAATTTTATTTGTTAAGAAAACCAATACCTCTTCGTGCTCTTCTTCCTCATACTCCTCTGGCTCTCCCTCCTCCTCCTCTTCCTCTTTATCTTTTTCCTCCTCATCTGACTTTTCTTCGTCTCCTTTCTTTTCTAGCTCCTGGGGAAGGTTGGCAAGATGTCTGTCACATCATCTGAACTTCCAGCTAAGGTTTTTTGTTTTGTTTTTTTGCTGGTCAAATAACGAACGGATAGGTGAACTAAGCAAAGAACTCAAGGAGTTCAAAAGGATTTTAGAAATATCAAGATTATGACATAATTCTTGGACATAACTGTAATTTAATTTCATGTCATCACATCACATGCTACTTATTTTCCAAATGGGGAATGAATAATCCTTAACAGATTTGTGGTATCCCTTTCCAAAGTCCCTTACTCAAGGATCAGAAAAAAAAATATGAATTACGAGGAAGCACATCCAGTGGAAAATCCAGAAACCTTACAATTTAGATAAGAGAAAGTGGCTTAGTCAAACTTAGGGTAGACCCACTGAAATCAATAGTGCTTAAAATACTGTAGTCATTTCAATTGGCTGGCTTCAACACAATGGTTTGTATTCAAATCTTTTATATATATATGTGTGTGTGTGTGTATATATATATTTGAACATGCCAGTTGGTTGTTGTTTTTTATTTGCTATCCTGTCACATAGCATAAAATTGCTCAAGGCAACCATCAGTTAAGGCAAACAAGAACTCCTTGCAGTTATGTAAAGGTGCCCTAAATTATGCATAAGTTTGTCATTCCCCCCAGCCCAATGAGTTTTATAGAGCCTAATCTACTTTTTACATCACTGTTCACAGTGGAGACATACTAGCAATAGTGACTACTGCTGAATAATAAAGCCTAAGAAGGTAAAGCAGAGTAAACTCTACCTCTATCTTTTTCAAAACATCCACATTAGTTTTTGGCGTTGCAGTTTTTGCTTTCTTCGGTTTTCCACCTGCTGAAGAAAAATCCTCTTACCTTTATACTCTTCAAACACATTTATAACAAACTTTACTCATTATGGAAGTGAAAAAGCTCCCTGTTTGCAAAGAATGAATCAGGAAGAATTTACTATACCAAGAACCAAGTTCTTCTGTGGAAATCCCAGGAGTAACTTAATTTGTGTTAGAATTGGGAAGGAGGTGTTAATGACACACACACACACACACACACACAGAGAGAGAGAGAGAGAGAGAGAGAGAGAGAGAAACAGTGTAACTTACCTGACAGTGGCAACTTTTGTCAAATGCTTGTAAATTTCAGGATTACCAGATCAATCCCTTGCAAAGCCAAATGCCTAAGTTATTTTAAGGTTTCGGTTGTGTGTGTTTTAAAGTATTCTCTTCTCTTTTCTATGATCCAACAACCAATCACCCCTTTCTCATTACAATTATAGCACAAAATAAGGCATACTGAACAATATTGTTGGTCAACAGCCCAAGAAAATATTTTTATTCCTAAGAGGCATGTTACTTAATATTACTTAATATGCATGTTACCTTTTTCAATCTTCTTCTTTGGTTTCAGCTCTCTTGGGAGTCTTCTCCAGTCTTCACAAAAGATACATTCAAGTTTTAGTTATTTTTAATAGTTTATGCTCCTTCACGTTAGAGGTATTTCTATGACCAAAGACATTTTATTCAGAACAGTAGCAAGACTTTCCCATCCTGGCGCTTGCCAATGGAGATCATGGGACTGTAGTCCAGCAATTCAGGAGCGTAGCGTGGAGGGAATGGCCCCGGGCACATTTTTCTGGGGGATCCTGCTCATGCCATCGTGCCAGCCCTGTGCCGCTTTGCGAGGTTGGGATCAGATTTGAATGATTTGCTGGGTGAATCATTTCAGATCAGATCCCAGCATCATAAAGCAGTTCGAGGGTGGCAGGGTGGCGTGAGACAAACGCAACAGCCATGCACCCTTCGATCCCAGCCTTGCAAAGTGAGGCCCAAGATGGCCACTGGTGTCCCAGTTCCAGCTATCAAGCTTCTGTTTGAATGTGGATAGTATCATTACTTGAGAACTGGCAATGCTGAGAAAAGGGAATGGCAGAAGTTTGATATGTGGGCTATTTACTGAGAAATATAGCCCTCAGTATTTTGTACCCAGCTCAAGATGCACATTTTGACTGAGAAGACCCAAAATGACTCAGGGGAGTCAACATATACTAGACCAGGGAGGAGGAAACTTGTGCCTCTCTGACTGGTGCTTACCAAAAACTTCCTTTATCCACGACCACTGCCCATGCTGACTGAGTCCCACAAGTTCACTAGCCCTGTTCTAGACAAACTCGGCCTCACCACAATTACAGGCCCTCCATCTTTCAAATAAGTGTGACAAAGGAATGTATTGTACTCCTGAGGGACCACTGGGAAGCAGTCCTTTCTCTGGAAAGATGTGAAAATATGGGAATGAGTCTATCAGCTCTGAATGAGTGTTTGTGGTTGGTTGAAGTGGAAAAGAATTCTAGGTGTAAATGCACTTTAAAAAAAATATCACTCAGCTCTGAGTGAGATGTATTTATTTAGGTTTACATTTTTAACTAGTTGAATGGCACAGAGGAACCAAAAACAAACAATGAACCAACCATGAAATGGGTTCTACATCTAAATACTGGAAAACAATGGAAAATTCTATGCCAAAATTAACTGGAATTTAAGTTTCCTTACCTGGGGTCCATTCTAGGTCCTTTTCATTCATCTGCAAGTATTTTTTGCTGTATCTTTCAACAGGTACAAAACCTGAAGAAAAAAACTAGAGTTGTCAAATATACATACTATAAATTCAGACAAAGCCAATGCAGAACCACAATCTATATTTAGTTAAAATGCACAAAGGACTATTTTCAGGGGGGGAAATCCCTCTTCTGCTTTGCTCACAATAACATATTTGTGCATTTATTTTGTATAAGGCTCTCAAGAAAAATCTTGGGGATTTTATGGGGATAACCACCTTTGTTTGAAGGATTTGGATCACATCACAAATAGAACTAGAAGACGGGTTAGAAAATGTCAAGATCGGAGGGGTACAGATTCAATGGCACCTTAACACTGTTCTTCAAGAAATTACTGATTGCACCCTTAGTTACACAGGATTAATTCTATTACAGAAAATTTGCATGCGCAATACTTTCCAGAATAAAACGATATTGCAAACTAACCTTCACTTTCATTCTTTTTGGTCATAAAATAGGGCGTCCTTTTCATTGCCCCTCTGAGCTCTTGTTTTAAAGCCAAAAGGTAATCCGCATCCTCTCCCGTTTTCAGTGGTATTGGTTTGTAATCTGTTGTCTATGAAAATCACACATATTGGGTTGTATTTAATGGTAGTGTTACACTAGTAGAAAGCACTTTTGCTTGTGTAAGGTGAGACACACTCTTCCTCATCCAATCCCTGCTACATTCTACAGTCATTGCACCATATCCTGTCTTGTTCCAGAGGGGCTCCCAACTGCGAGAATGCAACTGGGGGAGGGGCCTGCAGTGCATCACAGAGATTGGCAAGAATCAGCTGCCCCTCCTTGCGCATGTGAAAGTGCCTTCCAACGTCATTATTCCAATTGCAAAATAGAGTTTTATGCCATTCTTTCTGGCTCTCTGGCTCTCTTGAAAAAGAACTCACATAACCTTTTTTATTTCGTAGGAATCTTCATAAAATGCTTCTCCAGCAATGACAGGAGTACCGGAGGGTACAGAACACAAAGTGCTGTGGCATCTTCAATTACTGTCAAAGAACAGCAGCTAAAAACCCTGGGCACTTTTTATACCAGTAGCCAAAGTGCATGCTGGTTTGGTAATCTAAGAGAAATAATTCAGCCAACACACACACACAAATACTCCAGCACTTGGCGAGCCACTACCAGTCAATGTGGACAGTACTGAACCAGATGGACTAATGGCCTGACTCAGTATAAAACAGCTTCCTGTGTTCCTGTCTAGCATCACCTTCACTAAGTCTAAGCCTAAAGGCCTGGCCTATTGTTTTCCAAAATTAGTCTACCAGCAGTAGGATTAACTACGGACTTGGCATTTTCTTGCTCTTTTTATGTGGCATGCAAGTGCAACACTTCACCCCAATGGCAACTTGTGGTTTGAAATTCTGGCTGCTTGCTAGATACTTACAGGATATAGCGGAGAAGGCCCAAATACTGCTTCAGGTAGCGCTTCACCTTTAACAAAGCCAATTGCTGCAATGTCAAAAGTCAAGGCAGCACGCCCTCTTCCTCGGCCTGACCTGGCCATATCAAATTCCTGAAAAGAACACCTTGCATTTAATATTTATTCTTGTTCTGCAGAGTATACACAGAAAATATGAATTTTCTTCTTAAAAACAAATAGCCACCACAAGAAGTAACTTGAAGAGACACATAATCCACTTTTGCTACTAATTATCATGCCAGTCGTATTAATAGAAAAGCACAAACCAAGTGCAGAACCTGCAGTCGGTGGGGTTAATTAGGCCTCGCTGTACAGCTGGCAGGGCCATTTGGCAAAGCCACACCCAACTGCTATATGACATCAGCAGAGCTGTCTTAAGCATATGCGGTGTCGAGGTGCAAAGATACGCCAGGCGCTCCCCAGGTTGCCCAGTCCCAGACGTGCAGGAAGGCAGAGCTGGCCAGCCACTTCAGCATCTCGCTGGCTCGGTTGGCCCCGAACTTGCAGTGCAGAGCTGCCCGCAGCAATAGAGCCCGCCGCGGTGCTCCGACCAATGGGCGGGCTTTCCCTCCGACTCAACTCTCAGGGCCTGGACTTTCGGCCTGGCGCCCCTGAAAGCCCGGTGCCCGGGTGCTCTGCACCCCTAGTGCCTATGGGTAAGACGGCCCTGGACATCAGGTAAAGGACACGTAACAATGTGGCCCAGCCAAAAGAAGGTTTGCTGGCACTGCTTATCAGCTAGAACCCTTGGTACCCCAAGGAATCTTGGCAGGAACAGCAGTTTTCTTCCCCCGCCCAGTCATTTTCAGGAATGCAGCCCCTTCCCCCCAGTGAAAGCCAATGCCTCCCATTTCCATTGATGCACATGGAGCAGAAGCATCTGGCAAAATGGTGAATGGGGAAGCACAAAAGCAGGTTTCCTGTAAATGACCCTCAAGGCAATAGGGTCCTTGCTGGGAAATGGGGCAGAGTTTTGCCCCTCACCAGCACTTTTGAGGAGTGCAACCTTTTTCCAGGGTTGTGGCTGGTCTTCCTGCTGTGTGCAAAAAGACAGATAAAGAGGCAACGATTGGACAGTGTCATGTGCATGCCCAGTAAGAAGCGAGTGAATGAAGCCGGGCTAAATGCCTAATGGGGAAGCACTCCATGTCCCATTGAACCAAATTGATTTTGCTTTAAATAAACATGCATGAAATCAAGGTATCTATACACATGTGCTCAGAAATAAAAATCCCACTATCCAGCAGGGCTTCATATCTCCAGATGAGGTGTCACAGATAAAAATGGAGACTCTTGATGCTCCTTTCACCCTCCCCACCTTATGCACCGATGAAACCTTATCTCTGCCTGTTGTATACTAAACTGATCACAAAGCCATCCTTAAGAATGCTTCATCTCACAATGCGCCTAGTCATGGAATATCTGCAATTCAGTTCAGCAACATTTGCTGTTGGTGGTGGGGTAGAGAAACCACACACTGGCTTTACAGGACCAGACGCTGGAGCAGCCTTCCTCAACCATAGGTTCTCCATAGGTTTCGGACTACAACTCCCCTCAATCCCAGCTAGGGCCAAGATGCAGTTGCCCCTTTTCCCTTCCTTCTACAATCATAGAGTTGGAAAGGTCTCCTCAGGGTCATCTAGTCCAACCCCCAGAAGGCAGGAATCTCTTGCCCAGCAGCTGGAACCCAAGACCCTGAGATTACGAGTCTCACGTTCAACAGATTGAGCTACCTCACGAAACATTTTTTTTTTAATCATAAGAGGGTCAGTGCATTAGGAGGAACAGATAAAAGAAAAATTAATAGGGGCAGCTGGAGCAGATGGGATTGGGACTCACTTCCCCAGGGTGCGCGCTTGGAACTACACGAGATAGCCCCAAACGAAGCTGCCGCGAGCAAACGACCCTCCTTCGACTCTCACGAAATATTTAAAAGGGGGAAGCATCGGGAGAGCCGTGCCTCTTATTCAGCAGCACGTCAAGCACCATCATCGCACTGCATCTTCAAAGCCCAATTGCAGCCTCTCCGCTCCGGCCCCGCCAGGCCGCTCCTCCTGCAGCCTCGCCTCGCCCAGCCCGCCATCCCCGGCCCGCCTGCTCGCGTGCCCGGCGCCGCGCTACCGCAGTGGGCAGGGACGGGGCGGAGACCTCTCGCTCGCTGGCTCGCTCGCCCGAGCACGTCCTGCTCAGGCGCCTCCGTCCCCGCCTCCTCCCCGGGCTCCGCCCCAGCTCCGCGCGAGAGGCGCTGCAGGCGGCCCGGCAGGTCGGGGCTGCGGCGATGTCGGCGCTGGAGTGGTTCGCGCACAAGTCCCTGGGCGGAGGCATCTACTGGATCCAGGAGCGCTTCTACGAGTCGGGCAACCGGGCCAACATCTGGCTGGTGCGCGGCTCGCAGCGGGACGTGGTGATCGACACGGGCCTGGGGCTGCGCAGCCTCCCCGACTACCTGCGCTTGGCCGGGCTGCTGGGCGCCGAGGGCGACGAGAAGGCGCTGCTCTCTCCCGAGGGCGCCGCCGGGCGGCCCAGGCCGCTGCTGGCCGTGGCCACCCATGTGCACTTCGACCACGCCGGCGGGCTGCACCAGTTCGACGAGGTGGCCGTGCACAGCGCCGAGGCCCGAGCGCTGCGCCGCGGCGACAACTACGAGACCGTCACTTGGCTCTCGGACAGCGAGGTCGTGCGCCAGCCCAGCCCGGGCTGGAGCGCCCGCCAGTTCCGCGTGCGGCCCGTGCAGCCCACGCTCGTCTTGCAGGAGGGTGAGTAAAGGAGCACGGCGGGCGGCGATCGGCTGCCCAGCGCCCGCCCGGGGCAAAGCCAGGCTCCGGGGCCTCTTTGGAAGGACGGAGCTGGGCTCTACGACGTCGGGGTGGAGAAAGAACGAAAAGAAAGAAAGAGCACCTCTGACCATGCACAGAGGGACTTTCTCTCACACCTCCAGGGAACCGTCTGGGACTTGCGGGACTGCAGGCGGGCAGGTTGGAATTGCAGCAGCCTGACTCGGGCCTCGCTTCGGGTGTGCCAGCAGAATGGCACGGATTCCCCTCAACTTAGTTAGAAAGTTTCCCATTATTTGCAACGAAGGCAGTTGGAGTGGCAAATGTCTATGTGGTATGAATTGCCCCAAGTGCCTCCACCTCTCGTGTATAGTTAGCAAATGTGCTTGTGTATGTCACGAATATTAACATTGTCCGTTGCGTTCTATATGTTGCTCATGTTACTATAGGTGCTTCATAAATACTCAGGGCTGGCGGTGGATGTGTGTTTGGGGTCTGTTGCAGAAAATGACAGGCGGGGGCGTCGGCTCCAGTATACAGGAGAATGTGTAAAGGGAAGGGTTTTTTTGTATGCCCTGGTCCTATGTATACAGAGAGAGCAGAATCAAGGGCTGTTCCTTCTTTGGCTTCACCTCTCGGGATGTGTAAAAGGGCGGTTCTGAGCTTCGAGAACTGAGATTTCTGGGATAAACTAAAGGTAGGCAAGTGCATAGCTTCTCTTGATGGGCTTTGAGGTGCCTTAGGAAAGAAAACGTGTAGCACTTTTTCAAAAGCTTGATAAAATAGAAGCAAAAGCCTGTAGCCCACCCTTTCCCCTTTTATAGGGAGGGAAAGAGAGAGAACCAAGGATCTTATAATCCCGCTCTTCATTTTGTGCTTCCCCCCTCGCTCTCTGTGTGTAATGTGGGGTGTGGTATCTTCTCCTTTAAGGTTTGAGCATCCATATATGCTGGAGTTGTGGGCATCTGGCAAAATCCACGCATGTGGATATATTTTAAAGGGCACACCAGCATGAATATGCACTGTGTCTGTGAATGTGAAGTATGGGTGGAGACATTTCTAGTAGCTCCTGAAAAATACGTAGGAGATGGTCTTAGGCATTTGTAGATGTTTTTCCTTTCCATAATGAGTTTTGAAAAAACAAATCCCCAGTAGCAGATGCAAGCTTAGCCAGCAGATATATGTAGCAATAAGAATCTGCACTGGAGGTTATCACTTCGGGGGTGGGTGGGGTGGAACTAAGCCACAGCCTTAGTTTATTTCATGCTTTCTCTCAGCTGGTATACATCAGTCTATGTACAATTCTATTTTTATATAAAATATTACATTATATATACATATTGACCTAAATTAATTAGTAAAGAGAACAGATAAACAGAACTCTACAATTCTATGATTCCTTTTAAGCACTACCCCAAAGTAACATTCTCTGATAATAATCTAACAGTCCTGTGCATCTTTACTCAGAAGTAAGTCCTACAGTACTTAGTAAAGCTTGTTTACTAATAAGCATGCTGAGGATTGCAGCCCAAGTCATTGTGATATACAATTTCATATCTTAACTACAGTTCAATTATGTTCATGTCTCTAGCTGTCCAATTAATTAGGTTGGTTTCCCCTCTCAAATGTACATGTTATATAACAGGGATGGGGAAGCCTTGTGACACAAGGCAAATCAGATCTCCTTTCCATCTGTGTCTTTTCAAACCCCGCCCCTATCGCACCTATTTTTTTAGACTGGCTTGGGGTAGGAAAATCTCAGGCCCAGCAGCTGAATGTGGCTCTTCAGGACATACCAAATCCTTTGACCTGGCTGGACCACATCCCTGAAGTGTCATAATGCTGTTTGCTTGGAGGGATGGAGGATGCAGAGATGTTTGAGGGGGCTGTATAAAACTCTGTTTTTTGAACAGCTGGAGTACAGCCTACTGTGCAAAGCAGTCTACGGTTGTAACAATTGTTTATCTCAAAATTTATCTTCTATACCATGAAAATAAATAAAAACAGGAAAAAATGTCCCCCCTGTTGCTCTGCCTGCTTTTACCTCCAGCCCCAACTACCAACGTTACCCATGGGGGAGTGTGGTGATTGGCTTGAAAAAACGGTTTCCCATCCAGGCTCTTTGCTTGTTTTTAAAGCCAAATCTGAAGCAAAAGGACAGAGCTTTGGCTTGTGTGCGGACACCAAAACTAAGAGTTGAGGGCCCCTCTGCCCCTCCCCTGTTAAACAAGAATTGGGTGAAGACAGCACAAGAACAAAGAGTGTTACTTGGCTTTCAGTCTCCTCACAAATTGTATATAGAAATTTATGAAGCTGCCTTGCTGCAGTTTGGGCTGTTGTGCCACTTAGCTCAGTTTTATCACAGTTGCTGTGTTTGCACATAATACTAAGCCATGGTTTGTTCAGCAAACCACTAGTTGTTTCACAGATAAGCAAAAAAAAAAAAACAAACCATACCAAATTATGGTTTGTTTGTTGCCAGAAAACAATGGTTTGTCTGCTGAGTTGGACTTTCAGATAAGCCATACTTAGGCTAAATAAACCACAGTAAGGGCAGGGAACTAATGGTCCACAGGCCAAATTTGGCCCACCCTGCCTCCCTATTTGGCCAGTGAGGCTGTTATTGCCATACCACACCCAACTGCCCCACACCTGACATCATATGTGACATCAGGTGTGGGGCATGTAGAGACATGCCTTGTCTTCCCCATAACTATCATGGTGACTACCCCCCCACCCTTGTAGGCCAGGTTTGACAACTAGGCAGGGTGACCCACCTATCAATCAGCTGATATTATGACATCTGATGATTGATAGGTGGGTGGTACTGACCACCTATCATAATTGGTCCATGGGCTGGAGCGAATATAAAGATCTGAAATCACTGGTTTTAGATGGGTCTTTCCCAGCCCTTCCTGGAGATGCCAGCAATTGAACATGAGGTCTTTTGCGTGCAAAGGATGTGCTGCACTATTGCCCTACAGCCATTTCCCCCAAAGGTGAGGCTGGGATGCCAGGAATAAATAAGGTATCTGTGTGTGCCTTAAGTTATATTTAATAGTGTATTTGCAGTGTTCAAATGTACATATTACCGTGCCCATGCTTAGTAAGTTCTCAGTCACAGTATATCTACATGTGGGCATCTAGGTGTATACAGTGTCACATTAACGGTTCTGCTAACCATTCTTGCCAATTAAATATAAAATGCAAAGTGTTTGGGAGAACATTAAAGGAAGCTATTGGTTATCGGTTGTAACATTTCATTATTGAATCCTGATTTGTCTTCAGGGTCCTTAAGAAGGGGTGACTAAAAGAAACAAATATATTATTTTCTGACCTAGCTAGATGAAATTGGATTCTGAGTATACTGTTCTCTCACGGGGAGGTGACGTTTCGGAGGTGATAAGCCTGCCAATTTGCCTCTTTGCTTACAGGAAAAACACAGCTAAGGTCCAAGAAGACCATTTGATTAAGATGTCAGAGTGAGATATGAGATCATAATCCCATGCACTCACATCTCCAGATGGAGCACACAGTTTCTGTTAGTGTCACATCCCGGAAAACTTCTCTGAAATATATTTCCTGGGATCACAAGTTCAGTATGCAATCATAAGATCGCATTATTTAAAGTAAACGTTACTGAAATAGTGAACGCTGTTATTGTTGCTAGCTCTCACACAGAAAGGCTTACTACGGTGAAAACTCACAGTGGCCTGTTTACACATACGAACCCAGATTTATAAACCCATGTATTATAAAGTTAGAAACAGGCATGTTCTTTCCTTGCTGTTCCTATCATCAGCCCCTGCAGGCATCAGCCCAGAGATCCGGGTTAGTTTTAGAACAGAGTTCCCTGATGTATTTGAAACAGGAAACATTGGCTTAATGTTGGCTAACTAACCTGGATGTTAAACCAGAACCAGGTCAGGTCCCAGCTTAATATCCTGGTTAAATGATATTATCCCAAACTCCCCCATTTTGGACACAGTGGGGAAATCTGGAATACAACAAAGATCTCTGGACTAAATAAATCTGGTATGTAAGGAAGGGAAGAGCAAGGAATAAGTGCATGGTTCCAGATCACAGTGCCTGTAGGTTTGCAGCCTTTGCTTAGACAAAAAGATGTCTTCTTCTGAGATGACTTGAGAACAAATAGCTACTGGAAATATTCTGAAATTAATTTCAAGCAACTAAAAGTATTACTGCATCAGAAGTTAAAGTGTTTGTTTATATATTTAAAAAGTACATTGTTACTATGAGATTTCCTGTCAGCAATTTTGATTGCCTGGATTTGCAAAATTAAACAGATTTGAAATCTAATGGGATTTATGAAATGTAGCAACCCAGATTTATGCACTTTATCCCTTAACTCCTTATCCTCTGGTTCATCCCATATCAATTACCATCGATACTGTGAAAAGAGAAGAATATAAATAATTCTAATGTGTTTATTGCTGAGAAAATCCAGCCAGTGATACCAGCCAGTAAAAATTCACTATAGTGATAGACATTTCAGAATAATCTAAAAAGTTTTTTTATTTGATTACTGGCAAAAACAAGTGTTGCCATATGGCCTGGTTATTTGGGATTTGCCCAGATTCTGGGCATGCCATCCAGTGTTTGGGGCCATTAAGTTGGTGCAGCAGATTCCCAGCATTTTTCCCGATCTGTAGATAAGACAAAAGTTCAGGCACTATTCTGCTGAATTGCTTGATGAGAACTCACTTGAACCTTCTGTTGCTCTAGCCAGAGGCAAGTTTCAGCTTTTTCCACTTTGTCTCCCTTCCATGTATGACCAAGAAGAAAAATGCACGTACGTATACATGTCCACCCACCCCATTGGAATAATGACAGCTGGGAATGGAAGTCTCTCCCAGTGTCAGTATTCTGATATTTGTTTGTTGGTTGTACAGTGGTACCTCAGGTTACATAAGCTTCAGGTTACATACGCTTCAGGTTACAGACTCCGCTAACCCAGAAATATTACCTCGGGTTAAGTATTTTGCTTCAGGATGAGAACAGAAATCGTGCTCCGGCGGCGCAGCAGCAGCAGGAGGCCCCATTAGCTAAAGTGGTGCTTCAGGTTAAGAACAGTTTCAGGTTAAGTACGGACCTCCGGAACGAATTAAGTTCTTAACCCGAGGTACCACTGTATTGGAAATTTTATTTCTTAAACTTTTTTTTTTAAAAAAAATCAGAGTCCCTGAAGATGCTTTTAAGAAAATGAAACATCTGGAAATGCGAGTTTGGCCCTTTGTTGTTATGACTAAAGGCCACTGGCGGACCTGCCTTAAACCCACCTAAGCTTATGGCCATTGCAGCATCATGTGAATTCTTTTAAGAGGTGATTGCACACTGTCTCCCAGTAAACATACTTAAATAATAACAACGTCTATTATTTTGACAAAATTAGCAGCTGTATTTGCTCTTTTTACACACTTATAAAGCTCTGCTATCATCTCCCCCCTTTCTGTGACAAAAATGTCATTCACCACCCCACCCTGCGATTCTTTCAAATGCCCCTTTTGTACCACCAGCTCAGCAGGGTCCTTTCTGAGATGCAACATTTTTTATATGGGCAATCCTGTTATGAGATGATACTGCTAGTTGTTTCATTTTCCAGTCTCATTCCTAAAGCTGAATTTGACATTTTTACTGCTGCAATACACTGAGCTGACATTTTCAGTGACATTTCTTTCATGAACACAAGACCACTTTGTGGGTGTTTGCAGCCAATTCAGGTTCTATCTGCATAAATATGAAGGTTAGATTAAAAAAAACACCCCCAAAATGTATCACTTTGAACTTACTTGCACTGAATTTCACCTATTAATTAGCATGCATAATGCACATTAGTGCATTCAGATGAGAAACTCAGATGATACGGTAAAATAATTTCATGCCAAAAATCATTTGAGAACTTTGCTGTGAATGTGTCTGTGTTCATGTGCAAAATTTATTAGAAAGGGGATATTTTTATTTATTGTATTTCATTTTAAAATCACCCTTCATCCAATAGCATCCTAAAGCAATTTACAAGAATATCTACATTAAAAACAATTTAAAAATTCACACTACAAATTTGAACCCATAATTAAAATACCATTGAAAATATTTTACAGCGGGCAATCGACATAACCGCTAAGCTTAATGGGTAAGTTTCTTCCAAAGGCCTGGAGGAAGAGGTACAGTTTTAACTGGCACTAGAAAGTTAGGTAACATCAGTCCCAACCATGTCTTTGGGGGGAGGGGATTCCATAGAGGGAGCACCACCACAGAGAAGGCACTGTCTTGTGTCACCATTCCAGGGGCCTTACTTAGCGGTGGGATATCCAGCAGCACCTTCCCTGCAGCTCGTGGTAGTAGTAGTAGTAGTAAATTTTATTTATACCCCGCCCTCCCCAGCCTTTAACAAGATTAAAATAAAACATTAAAACATTAAAATGCTAAAACATATGGGCGTACTAGCATAGGGTGTATAGCTTGGCTGATATAGGGAGTGGTGCTGGACCAATAGGCAAGGTGTTCATGCATGCATTGTTTGACTCCCTATTAACACTTCTAACGCTGAGGTTTGTCAGAGAGCTCAACCTTTGTAATGGAAGTAAATTTGGTGTTATGTTTCTTGCGATCATGCTTCAAAGTCCAATTCCTCCCCCCCACATTATTTTGTTCTTTGTTTGTAGGGGATGTGATCCACCTTGGTGATAGACAGCTCACTGTCATGCATATGCCTGGCCATTCAAGAGGAAGCATTTGCTTACATGACAGAGAACGGAAGATATTGTTCAGTGGGGATGTTGTATATGACGGATCAATGATTGACTGGCTTCCCTACAGCAGGATCAATGACTACGTTACATCCTGCCAGCGACTGATAGACTTAGTGAATAGAGGTCTTGTAGAGAAAGTCCTTCCGGGGCATTTTAACACATTTGGAGCTGAACAGCTCTATCGTTTGGCTTCCAACTACATTTCTAACGCTGGTGTGTGCCACAAAGTTTCTACATGTGCAGTCAGATCGATTGCAAGCCTAGCACTCCGGGCCACAAATTCCAGAACAACTTCATAGTATAACTTGTTTAATAATAATATTATTATTGTAAAACCCGATGGCATATGTACCGTATTTTTCGCCCTATAGGACGCACTTTTTCCTCTCCAAAAATGAAGGGGAAATCTGTGTGCGTCCTATGGGGCAAATACAGGCTTTTGCTGAAGCTTGGAGAGTGAGAGGGGTTGGTGCGCACCGACCCCTCTCGCTCTCCAGGCTTCAGGAAGCTATCAGCAAGCCTGGGGAGCCCACGGGAGTTCCCGCAGGGCTCCCTAGGCTGCGGATAGCAGCCCGCCGCGCGGGGCGCCTTGAAGCAGAGCGCCCCGCGCTTCGGGCAGACATCCGCAGCCTGGGGAGCCCTGCGGGAGTTCCCGCAGGGCTCCCTAGGCTGCGGATAGCAGCCTGCTGCACGGAACGCGGGGCGCGCTGAAGCAGAGCGCCCCGCGCTTCGGGCAGACATCGGCCAACCCCACAAGCTCGGGGGACAGCGGGGAGGCAGAGCGCCGCCATCCCGCTGTTCCCTGACCTGGTTTTGTTTCCCCGACCTGGTTTTGGGGGGGAAATAAAGGAAAAAATTTTCCCCCTTTATTTCCCCCCCAAAAAACTAGGTGCGTCCTATGGGACGAAAAATACGGTAAGTTTATTTAAATGAAAAGCTGGCTGATAAGCCATAAAGATTTTTATTTTTATCTACTTAATTTCTACTTTAAAAAAATACCAATATAAACTAGTAGCTGTGCCAAAGCTACTCATTTTCCTTCTATTTTTTCAAGGCAGGTTTGCACATATGTTGAGTACAGTTTGACAGATGTTCTAAATTCGTTTTGTATTTTGAAACATATATATGCTAAATGAAAAGTTTTGCACCCGTGTCAAACTTTATTGATGACATTTGAGTTAGGGATATGTGTTGAAAGTAGATTTTAAATGGTTGAAAATTATTATAAGCTGTAGTGGGGGTAGGTTGGTCTTATAACATTCCACTGTCTCATTACATGCACTAAGATAAAAGTACCAATAATTTCATTTTTATTGTATGGGGTGAATTTAACCTGAAGTTATTACCAAATGTTAATATAAAGCACTGCACCCTAAGTTGTTACTCTTCTTGAATTAAGTGTGTTGCATTTAACTATTGTTTCTAAAATGAAATGTAAGTGAATATTTCAAGTGTATTGCTTGTTTTTTAAATGTGACTAATGGTGTATGTAAGAGTACGTAACTGTTAAAAGATTCCGTCAGATAATTTTAAATATAATGCACACACCTGTGATCATCCTTGGTTTCTTCTGTATAGCAGCTGTAGAAGCACTTGTGTGTTGCAAATTGTTTTGTGGATTGTAGAGAATAAATTGGGTCTCAGGAGAGAGTAAATTGAATTTTTGGGGGAGATAGCTGCCAAAAAGCTACAGCTCTTGAGTCATCTGTGGTTCTTTTCACATTACAGGTGTAGTTAGGACTTCAAGTAGTAGCTTTGCAACCTACAAATGTCATTCTTCTTCTTTTGTTTCTTTTTCCATTTTCTGTAATGTTTACTTTCAAGCAACTTGACAAAAATTCCTTGTCTGTTGTTTGTACTTTTCCAGTATAAAAATCCTGTGCAGCCCTCTGGGGTGTTACCAATTCATTGTGCGAAGACAGGTTTTTATCTTGTAACTATGACACTGAAATGAAATCGATAGTTTGAGATATATTAGGAAGGATATTAACAGTGGCCCTTGTCTTGTGAGAACAGTGAAGAGCTTCGGGTTGTGGCTGTCACACAAAATTAATTTTTTATCCTTTTGCGACTTTATTGCATCATATTTCCCATACATCAAAGAGTACTGCACATACAGAGCTTGACCCCAGTGTAATCAGCACTTTAGCCCTCAAGGGTGGATAGGTGGATGTAGTTAATTCTTTAAATGTTAACAGTGCCTATTTCCTGTTGTAGACGAAAGCACAACAGTAAACAGGAAGATCAGACTTGCTGGTGAATGACCACTTAGAAATGAGGTTAGCAATTTCTTTTAGCCCTTATCTTGTTTGAAGCTTTCACCAAACGAATGGAGAAATATATAATGTTTCAGACTGCTTCACTTTGGCTATTGGCTTTGGAAATACCATTTATTAACAGCCAAAGCCACTAATTTGATACCTTTTAATGCTAGGGATAAAAGGCACCCATGAGCTTGCAACTTTACAAGATTTTAATCTAAAAATTAGCAAATACAAAACTCATCAGGTTGAAGACTAGTGCAGATATAATGGAGAGGCCCTCTTGACTGTGGTCAAGCGATTAGTAATGGGTTGCTGGATCATTCACTCCTCCTTGCAGTGGTGCCAACTCCAGTCCCCACAAAACTTTTGCTGTGGGTGCTTGGCCACCACCCACTGCCAGTCACCACCTTACCTTTGGTGCTCCAGTCCTACGGGGTCGTGACTTCATGTCACACCTCGACATCACGGTGTTGTGGTGTGCTTGCTGGGCATCCACAGTCTGGGGCCCAAGTTGATGCCGCTGCCTACCCATTTCCTTCTCAAGTGAATGCCCTCCTGTTTTAACTGCTGCTAAGCATTGTGTCAACAGCAATATTTAAGCACGGTTAAGGCTAACCTGGTTCCTACTTCAATTTGCAGCCAACTTGAGACTGGTACCTTGTTCATTTTGTAGAAATGTGCACCTTTTGGAATCAACTGCTACAAAATCATTCTGTTCTACGGGAATACTGCTGAGGTGCTAGTGATTTTGAGGCATTAATGGCGATGTTTTTCCCAGAGTTAAAGCAAACTGCCTAAAGCCTCTATTCCTTCTTTCCTACCCACCTTCTCAGTGTCTTGAAAGTTCTTTTCCAAACGCCTTACTGTGAGTGGCACATACTAGACAGCTCACTGTGGGAAGAATTTAGCTAAGGAATACTGTGATTGCCAAAGGTTAGACTACTCTTAAGAACTGATCTGAGTTTCTGCTCTTGGAACAGTTCTGTTGGTACATTTTTGTTCTATAAGATGGACATGTCTGTTCTATTTCAGTGCTCACAAAGCCAGATTATCTTCTGAAGTCTTATGTAGTTCTTGGGAAATGTAGTCAAATAGGAATCAGGCTGTGAAACTCTCCCCAAGCATGTGTTTACTCAAAAGCAAGTTCCACTCAGTTCATTGAGTCTTTATTCTTCGTAAGCCTGAGTCAGAGCTTTAACTTAGAACAGGGGTGGCTAACCTGTGGCCCTCCATATATTGCCCTCCATACAGCTTCCATCATCCCTAATTATTGGCCAAGCTGAGTGAGGCTGCTGGGAGCTGGAGTTTAATGTCATCTGGGAGACCACAGGCTAGTCTCCGCTGACTTAGAAGTAAGTTGCACTTGGCTTTGGTTAGTAAAGTACAACCTTAGAGTGAAAATATATAATCTTATCTTTTGTCTTAATTATTTTTATATTTAAGACCTTGTGTATTTCTGAATGAATTTATTGAAAGACCTTTATCATTAAGTATTGCAATGCCTTTAAAGACAACAAAATATATGTGTTCACTTTAAATATTACAGAGTATGATACATTTACTATTGCTTTATTTGTAAACATTCTCTTGACATCCCCTCTGGATTCAGTATTTACAAAGGCTTAAAATGCAGTTCTGTTCAACAATGTTCTTGGAGTTAAGGCAATGATATGTTGTTGATTCAACTGTTTTTACTGAAGCAAGTCATGGATTGTGTTGTAAAATGCAATTTAAAAGCATTTAAAAAAGTTGTAATGCATTGTTCTGTCTACTGATGAAACTTTACTAATGTGCCACCGTTTTCAAGGGGAAATTGTATATTATTTTATCATAGATATTGATAATAAAAGAATTATGACACAAAACAGCTCTCCAGTGATCATTTCCATTTCAGCTTTAACCCAACCAAAGGAGAAAGTTACATATGTGTTGCTTTTGAGAGATGGAATGGATGCCAAACGGTAGTGGTGTGATAGCCAGGCCATAACAGCTGCCATCACTCTGAAATAGGTCTTTTGTGTGTGGGGGGTGGGGTGGGCTTTTGAAAGTTGAAAGGGTTCCTTGCGGAAATGCCCAAATCCTTTTGTGAAAATGAGAACATTGACCATAATTTCTTTAGATTATTTTGGAGCATAAAACCATTACATCCTACATCTTGCTCAAATGCTGCAGAAAATGCTTTCATTGTGTTTATTAAAGCTGATTCAGCTAACTGAACATAAGAGATCACCCACGCTAACTGGGATTGAGGACTCATGTTCCTAGGCACTATGCTATTTACACCACTTATGAACACATCTCCCTTTGCATCTGGATTCCTTCCAGTTATCTTCTGTTGTGCTTTTTCTGTGTTCTTTGTAGATAACTGTTTAAATAAGCTGAGGTTGCTCACCCATGTAAGAGCATAATGCAAAAGGAATAAAAAAGTTTGTGCCTAGAGTAAATTGTAGGAGAAGAGAGGTTCACAAATAAATGCTAAGTGAAAAACACAAACTCAACACGATCATACTTCTCATAAAAAGGGATAAAGGGAGAGGTGAAAGGTTTTTCAGAGTTTAGGAAGTTACAAGTTGCTTGAGTTTTGCAGTAGTTTACAAGACAATACAGCTTATGTATTATGTATGTACAACGCAGGTGGCACTGTGGTCTAAACCACAGAGCCTAGGGCTTGCTGATCCCCTCAACGGGGTGAGCTCCCATTGTTGCTCCTGCCAACCTAGCAGTTCGAAAGCACGTCAAAGTGCAAGTAGATAAATAGGTACTGCTCCGGCGGGAAGGTAAACGGCATTTCCATGTGCTGCTCTGGTTTGCCAGAAGCGGCTTAGTCATGCTGGCCACATGACCCAGAAGCTGTCTGCGGACAAACGTGGGTTCCTGGGCCTATAAAGCGAGATGAGCGCCGTAATCCCAGAGTCGTCTGCAACTGGACTTAACAGTCAGGGATCCCTTTACAGCTTATGTCTGAAAATGTAATGGGCTGGAGCTAGTTAGAATTTTTGTTTTTATTTTCACACAGAAACCAAATAATCTCTTGGAGAAAAAAATGTGAGTAAATAGAACAAAGTTTTATTCAGATATTAAGATTCTCTTGTCCTTTCAAATATATACTGAACAATTACTTTTTAAAAAGAGATGCCATCTGCTGGTTTAGTTCCATATATACAAATATGACATGACTCAGTTCAAAATACGATTCTTCCGTGAATAGCCTTCAGATATTGTAACAGATGAGCTTAACTTTTTTTTAAAAAAAACTACACTGAGGCAAGAAATGAAAATAATACAAGCTGCAATTTCAAACTGTGTAAGCTCAGAACTAAGTTCTGAGAAAAGAGATGCTGAGGAGGAAGGATTGCATTAGACTGTAAAAAGTAATCTTTGTGTTTTTTCTCTGGTAGGTCCCTTAAGGCTCTGAGAGAAGGAGTTGACAGTTCTGACCTGGGAGTTCTACTCTTAGAGTACCTCAGATGTCATCTAGTCTAACCCCTGCCAGTGTAGTAATTGCACTGCTGCAGCAACTCTGCTTAAAAATCTCTATCAGAGAATCTATCACTTTCCAGGGGAGCCTGTTCTAATGCCTGTCAGCTCATACCACCAGGAAGCTCTTCCTAATGTTCAATTGAAACTCTCTTCCTTGTAAATTGAACATGTTGGTTTGGGTCCTACTCTCTGGAGTAACAAAGCAAAATTGACCCATCATCACTGTGACAGCCTCCCAATAGTTGAAGACTGCCACACGTATTGGCTCTGAACGTCCCCTTCTCCAGGATAAACATACCCATCTCCCTTATCATTATTCACACAGGAATGGAGCCCTTACCATCTCTTCACGTTGTAGTTTGTCAGGAGCCTCCTTCAGTTGTGTCCAGAACCGGACATGTTATGCCAGGTGAGGTCGGACCAAAGCAGAATAGAGCTGTACATACCATTACTACTTGTATCTTGGACATTATACTTGATGCTTGATGGGGTCTTTCTGTCACCAGATTAGGAAGAAACGGGATAAACTAGGCTGAAAGCTTGTGACTTACCGAAATACACTCAGTGGGCTCCAGGTATCCAAATCCAAAATCTTGGCTAGTCCAGGTCTAAAGCCCTTGCATCACAGTGGGTTATTTTTCATCTTCAGAGACCTCCAAACAATTGCAAAGTAAGCATGCACTGATGTAGCAAATTCCTGCTGTCAGGTTTTTCCCCTCATGTGTTCACAAGCTATCAGTCAAGAGCATACGGCCAGGTACTGGATGTAATGAAGAGACATATACTATGTCCAGTAGCTATTGATGGCTTCAGTTTTCATGCGTTTGTCAAATCCTGGTGATGTGATGCCCATAACTATTACCTTGTGATAGCCAATTCCATAGTACAGTACAGCAATGACTTGTGTGAAGACATACTCGAGTGTAAAGAGCTCCCTACTCGTAGAAAGGAGAAGGGGGGGGTGTATTAATGTCAAGAAGGCTATTCTGAACGGTGCTCCCGTGTGCTTCAATTTTCTGTGAGCAGAGCCTTCTCTATGTGAGGCCATTCAAATATGCGACCTCCAGAACATGAAGCTTTTCTGTCCGTTGTATAAAATGCCCTTGACTGATAGCTTCAGATTCATCCCTCCTAAAACGACGACTTTATTGCTTTCGTATTCATATCCTAGGGAGGATGCGCTACAAGGCTGCAGCCAATGAGACTCTAGGACGGGCGGGCTCTTATTACGTCAACAATCAGCGCGGCAATTTGCCCTGAGCCGCGACGTTCCTCTCCCCGGCATCATTGTGACGTCTATAAGCAGCAACGCCTTCTGGGTAAAACGTTGGCGGCGTACCCCACCAATTTTCAACAGGAGACCGGGGAGGCGCGCCTGGGACTTGATTGACAAGCGGCTTAGCCACTTGCGATGGCGCTGTGAGCGGCGGGGCGGGAGGGACGCTTCGAAGGGGTCCAATTAAAGCTTGCAATCCGAAGAGGGGAAGCGGCGTTGTCGGAGGGAACGGGTTTCGCGCCCCGCTTTCGAGGGAAAGGCTGTTGTTCCTCTTGATTCCGGGTTCCGGTGGCCAAAGTAGCCGAGACACGCTGCCCCCCTTCCCGCCTGGTTTTCAAGGGGTGGGGCTGGGAGAATGAATTTGGTGGCGAGGTTGGTACCTTGGCGGGAGGGAGGGAGGGAAGCCGCGAGCGAAGGGCTTTTTGCTTCTTGTTGCCATGGCAACGCAACGTGTTTTCCACCCCCTCCCCACCGTCGCGAGCCGCCTTGTCGCGATATTTGCCGCAGCGAGCGTGCGCACTGGCTCCGGGTAGCGCGCGGCATCCCCTTCCCCCCTCCCGTCGCAAAAGCATTTGGTAGCCGACCGATTCCTCTTGTCTTTCGAGTCGGGGATTTCAGCTTTTTATTATTGTTGTTGTTGTTGTTGTTGTTGTTATTATTAGTTACATCTTGTTTTGTTGATAGTTGCCTTAGACCTTGTAGGCGAGGGAAGAGGAAGGAAGAATAATGCGTGTCCCCGCTTAGGTTCTCAAGGCTGCTTGTGGAAGTGATTTAATGCCATTTTTAGATTTAGATTAAGCAACTTTAGCACATCGAATAATGTAAGCTTGCAACCAAGGTGAATAGGTAGGCAGCAGCCCAGCGTTCACCTTAAAGGATGGAGTGAAAGCTAGAGACCCTACTTATGTAGGAGGACACACACAGAGTTGAGTTTTCGGGCTGTGATGCTCCAGGCCATCTTCATAAACGTTAGGAAGTGATCCTTGGTGAGGTGGGCTGCCACTACAGAGCCATAGCTTAGTGGTGCAGCAAATGCCTTCCCTGAACACATTTCCAGATTGCTTCTTGGTATCTTCTAGGCAGGGCAGGGAATGCCATCTCTGAAGCCATGCAGAGCCTCTACCAACAGAGCTTTCCAAACTGTTGCAACACCTTAGTGTCTCAGCTGCAATGTGTTCGTGTGTCGTGTGAACGCTCCCCGTGCTCCTTACCAGGGCTGGAAAGGGGTTAGTTTAACCTCTGGTTTGCTAGTAAAACTGAATCACTGTGTCATAGAATTGTAAGAGTTGGAAGGGACCCTGAGGGTCATCTAGTCCAACCCCCTGCAATGCAGGAATATGCAGCTGTCCCATACAGGGATTGAACCTGCAACCTTGGCATTATGAGCACTATGCTCTAACCAAGCGAGCCATCACTAAATGATGCATGTCTAAAAAGTGTGTCACCAGCCTGAGAAGTTTGGAAAGCTGCAGTCTACCATAGTACAGAACAAGATGGTTTAATGGTCTGACTTTGTAGAAAGCAGGTTTTTTGTGTTCATTTAGGTGCAAACATCAGCACCCTTGCTTTCCTTACTAAATCAGTATAGGAACTCCTGTAGCCTTTAGGAATGCAGAAGTCCATTTTAAGAATATAATATACATATATCAGGGAAATGGTGAACTAAAAAGAGCAGAAGGGAGTCTTGATGGCAGACAGAGTATACTGTTTTGTCACTAGCCTCTAGTCCAAGTGTGGCAAACATTTGGCCCTCCAAGGTGCTGGAAGAACTACAGCGCCCCTCATTCCTGGCAATTGGCCATGCTTGCCAGGGCTGATGGGAATGGTAGTTCAGCAACATCTGGAGGGCCAAAGCTTTCCTACACCAGCCCTAGCCCAAATACAGTCATAAATCCATCATAAATCTTAAAACTAAGACTGGACATTTCATGAAATCAATTCTCATTCTGTTTTCTTCATCAGCAAGGTGACATATACCTACCCACTAAGATATGCTACAGAACTAAAATTGTGTGTTTTTTAAGAGAAAAAACCATACCTGACTACATTTGTCTTTATCATCTAGAACTGAGCTTCCTGTTGACAAAACCAAGAGAAAGAAAAGAAGAGACTTGACTGAAGAACAGAAGCAAGAAATTAAAGATGCTTTTGAGTTGTTTGACACAGATAAAGACAGAGCTATAGATTATCACGAACTGAAGGCAATTGATTTTTTCATAAAAATATTGATATTTTGCTTTATAATTGTACAGTCTTGTATAAATATGTGTTAGCTACATATTGTGACACATTTTTCTGTGGTATACATGCTATGAACAAAGATGGCTGATTCATACAGAGTAAAACTGTATGTGGTGTAATAGCATTTATATAGCACTTGTTGAATATTCAGTAATATATATTATAATATTAGTAATCTTTGTAACCTTCTTATGAGATAGGCTGGTATTGCCCCCATTGTGTAGAGGAGGCTGAGATTGTAAGGAAATGGTTTGCATGTAGTGAGGTTTGAACTAGTTTTATAGCTCACACTTTAGCAACTTCACTGCAGCAGCTCATGAATTGGTGTTTTTAATGTTTGCTGTCTGTTTCTATGATGTTTAAACCAGCCATAAGGCAGAAGCACTTAAAAGTAAATACTAGGAAAGATGCATGCCCCTTGGTGCTCATAGTTACATAGATCTGCATTCCAGGGAAAACTATAGATCTAGAATTTTAGCATTGTGGTATGGTATACATAGCCTTTTTCTCTTTGTCAGAAACATCTTAAGGCTGCTATGTGGATTTATGTGCGATATATTAATGTCCTAAGAACCTTGATGTCAGTGGTTCTCCTGCAATACAATCTTACACTTGTTTGCTCTGAGGAAAGTCTCCATGATTTCAGTAAGGCTTAATCCCATGCAGCCTTGATATAAGAAACATAATTTTCAAAATGTCATACTGTCAAATCTTCTGCTCTCATTTTGTAAGAGCCAAAGGCAGCTTGGGTAGGAAATTTATTCCATCTGGTTGCCATCCCAGAGTGTCTTTTTCATAGAGCTATTTTTTTCTTGTTCTTTTCTCACAAAAATTCACTTTTGGAACTTGGAGAGATAGAAGTTGTTGCTGAACTGTTTAGGATACTGACAGCACAAACCAATACATTTCTACTCAGTCAGCATGCTTATTTTGTAATGTTAGTAAACAAGAGGTTAAACAAGGACGGCAAGTTGGTAATCTGCGTGTGCACCCAGTTCTCTCCATTCACTCCAGCAGTAGCATAGAATAAAATATTATGCTCCTTCGGCATTTGGCTTGATCACTCCTGCTCTCCTGAAAAAGTGCTGGCAAGGCCAAAAGTATAGCAAGAGAGTTACCTTTGTCTCCCTCCACTGGTAAACCTCCACCCAAAAAACAGGAAATCACCATAGTGGCTCCTGTGGGATCACAGGATCACGTTAACTCTCATCTATCAAAGTAGCACTTCAGGTGCTGCTTTTGGAGGCACCAGACGCTTCTTGGCTGGAGATCAGGAAATGTTGTTGTTGTTGTTGTTTAGTCATTTAGTCGTGTCCGACTCTTTGTGACCCCATGGACCAGAGCACGCCAGACCAGTAAATATAGATCCATAAATGATGTGCAGAGTGCTGTTTGGCTTGGCTTCAGAGCACCCATTTTGCTCAGGAATCTGAGATTGTTCAAGAGATCTCTGCAGTGTTGCAGGAGCCTCTTGGTAATGTCCTGTTTGCTGCCAAGAGGGAAGTATTGCTTCTCCCACTCTGGACGCCAGATGTGTCAGCTTGGGTACGGCAATCATGTTCTGTCCCCCCCCAGACAGCCAAGCACTTAAAACTGCACAAACTCCATTTTTTTTTGTCCTCCAGGCATTTGTGGAAAAGTGGACAGACTTTCAGAAATGTTAAACCATTTGGAAGTTTTATCTTTACAATCCCATACATCTACCTAGGATTTCTTTTCTTTAGTATCATCTAGGAAATTCTCATGTGAGTAAAAATGTCATTTGTTCTCATCAACTTGCTATTGCAGTCAATATGAACTACGGTGAATAAATGGTTTGTGAGTCAACATTGTTGCATTTCTGTCTTTTCCCAAAAGGTGGCAATGAGAGCCTTAGGTTTTGATGTGAAAAAAGCAGATGTTCTAAAGATACTTAAAGATTATGATCGGGAAGGAACTGGGAAAATCACCTTTGAAGATTTTAATGAAGTTGGTGAGTATTGGTTTTTAAACATTTATTGACAGGAGGAAATTTGGCAATAATTGATAGCTGGAAATTTAGCTGGTCTGATTCTTAATGGATGGGTATGCAAATGTATCGGGGATAACAGATGAGCCGTTTAATGTTTACAGCATTGTGTGTCCCCCTCCAAATAAATAAATAAATAAATGGAGAACTATCAAAATTTTGCTTTGACCCTCTGCCTGCACTTTCTTTTCTTCTATCCCACCTTTATCTGCCAGTAGTTATGAAACTGAACAAAGGGGATAGATGACCTTAAACTTTACTAGCATTCCATAGTTTTTCATGTCCTGCCATTTTCCCCCAATATCCTTTTAAAATCTAATTTTTTTTTTCTGTATCCACAACTTTTTTAAAAAAAAACAAACCTATTGGACTATGGAAAAGTAATTATTATGTTGCGGCAATTTTTGTATTTAACTTTGGCAGCCATATGTAGAAGATTCCTACAATATTTGCTTTTGCTATAGAAAGATCAAAAGAGAGAGTGGGTTTTCTGCAGAAATGAAGTATAACTACTCGGTTACCTTGCTAAGTATTCAGTAAGTTGTGACATTTTCCATTTATTCACTTCCTATGTGGAGTTCAAATCCATGCAGTTGAGGTTACTACATGTACGTACAACCCCCCCCCCCCCGCCTCTTTAGGTAGATGATGAAAGCTAATCTTTTAAATTCTTTGGGTCAGAAACCTGAGGGTTTGGAATAGAGTTAGAGCATTTCAATGCAGAATTATTATTTTTTCACCAACAGAAGTAGAGTTGATTTCATAGAAATAGACCAGATCTCCCAATTGTTTTCATTTTAGTGACAGACTGGATACTTGAGAGAGATCCTCATGAAGAGATACTCAAGGCATTTAAATTGTTTGATGATGATGATTCGGGTAAAATAAGCCTGAGAAACCTGCGCCGTGTAGCTAGAGAA